TGATTAGGAAATTCCTCCCTTACAGGAAGAATTAAAATATCTTCAACAGATGGAAAGAGTACCCTGCACACTTTCCTGGAAGCATTGGATGGCCTCAAATGTTTAAGTGCATGATTGAGAAACTCCCATCTGTCAGATAATGCCATGAGCCTTGTTTTAATGAGCATTTCATCAGTCAGACCACTCTGCTAATGGGCATTACCAAGCTGGAACAACTAGGAAAAGAGAGGCAGGGGGCTCCCTCTAAGCCCCATGTACACTGGCCCTTTGGCATCTGCAATCTCATTGCAACCTCACAATATCCATGCATTTAGAGATGTGGGAACTGAGCATCAGTTAGGGGCAGTGACAGGTTTAAAGCCAAAAGACTTGACTAAAGCCCAGGTGCAGTTATTGATGTGCACTCTGTCTTGTCCTGTTATCAATGTTGCTCTGGAGCTGGGAGGTGCTTGGCACTCAGACCACATACCATCTGGCCAGAATGCCTGATGTGGCTTCTATCACCACCATAGAGCCACCTTGGGTGGTGCTGCATCTTTCCAGAAGCTCACTTGCCCTGACTGGTGACTTGGCAGGGCTCAGCACACAGGCCTGAAGTGGCCTGCTAGTAGTCTCCCCAACAAGAGGGCATCCAGGAAGCTCATTAGTGCTCTATTTCCCAGCCCCTCCAGCTTTCTCATCCATTTTCAGCCCACTATCTATGGAGGTTACAAACCCACATTTTCCTGAACTTTATCTTCCCTACTCCATGGAAAGTCTAGAAGACAGGGGTGAGAGTCCTGCATGAGGAGTCAGGAGCCCTGTGTCTGAATCCATCTGCCACTAACCTACTATGGGGTCTTGGGCCAGACTTAGTCTCTCTGGGTTAGCTCTCCCTCCCTCAAAGACCCTACCCGTAAAGATGCTAGTTTAACTTAGCATCTAATAGCCTTTTCAGGTCTAACATTGTAAGATCTCAAGGTGGAGTCTTGTCTCAGGTTGCCATTATTTTAGTCACCTTCAGCAACCTCTTCCCCTACTCCCCCTGTCTCTTGTCCAACTAGCTAGGAGGGTTTCATTAGCACGTATTTCTCCCCAAGTTTCAAAAATAAAGTCCACAAATGCTCCACAATCCTTGTAGAGGTGGCTGAAGTTTGGGAAAATAGCTGAAAATCTTGCCCATCTGGAGGCCTTAGTTCTCAGAAGAATTCATGAAACACTTGAGATGTGTGAAGGACGGAGTGTCCCAATGAGGAGTAAGGCATCCAATGATCTGGTCCTGCCTCTGCCAGGAACTCACTGGTTGACTTAGGATAAGTCTGTCATGGGCATAATGTCAGGGAATACATGTGTTATGTGGCTGACAAGCCTAAATCAGGTTAGCTCTCGGGAAAGTTCTATTTCTGCAAACCATGCAAATGCTTATGGAAATAAGCTGTTCATAACTTAGATGATCTCTGGAGTTAAAATGTTCTATTTGACCACTTTGGGTATCTGAAAATCTGAATGTGTGGAGACAGTCTCCTACCTGAGGTAGAGTAACATGTCCACAGGAAAAGACAACTGGGGCTGGGGCTGACTTTCCCCCACTGTAACAGATCTAGCAATGTATGTAGCTGTCTAGACAGCCTGCTAAAATAAACCAGAAGGCCACTTCTAGATCATCAGATCCACACACTTCTTTAGACAAGCAGGGCTCAAAGAGGGGGAATTCCTACATTCTAATCCAGGCTGTCAACTCAGCCATGACTTGCAGATAGTTCTTACTTACTCCCCCCAACTGTTCAGCTTACCTAACTAAACCCCTCCAGGCATCACAATCCGTTGGGAAATGAATCAAACAGGAGTGTGCTTTGGCCCTATGTTCCCAGCCTTCAAGAGCCCAGGGACATTATGGATTGCACGTAACAATGTTTTTTTATAACTCACTCCTTCCTGTCTTCACAACTGAACAAGAAAATCCTACCATGGATTTATAGGGTAATAGGGAGATTCAGGTCATTGGTCTCATGTCCCATGGAATGTTTATCTAGCTTTTGGCAAGCATTTCCTGCCCCTGAAAGCAACCCAACCCATCTCTGAACAGTAATGACTGGTCAACATTTTGAGTGGCCAGCACTGACTTTGTGTGAATTGTGTGTCCTTAGTGGAGGCCTTGCCATGGCCTCATCTGACAACTGTGGATGCGAGCAGTGTTAGGCAATAGCTGAGTGCTTCTCTGCCTTCACACAGACTTAGCAGAACAGCCTTATTGTTTGGGCCTCACAGAGCAGGCCGCTCTGTCTTCCTGCTCTCGACCTTGTCCAATGTTAAAAGCCAATGAAATGTGCCCTCCTCTGGCTTCATCTTCAAGTTCAACAGCCCCGTTCCATCAACTCTTCCCCTGTCCTGACTCCCAGGTCCTTTCTCTTAGCCAGCTCTTCCTAAAGGGGATTGATTACCTGTGTTTCTCCTTTCACTTGAAATATCTGAAAGATTCTTTAAGAAAAACTACAATACACCATGCCATTTGACTTCAGGAAATGCAAATGCTTCAAAACAAGGCTGGTTTTTTTTTTTTTTTTTTTCCATCCTTGGGTTTCTCAGAATTACAACTGAGGTCAACCCACCAAACATGCAAAGACCAAAGGGAAAGGAGAAAAAGAAGGTGCATGTGTGAGAGGCAAGCCCTGGCTTGTCCTTGTACAGCTACCTGTTTAAAGAAGCTCACCTGATAGATGCCACCCCAAGTTGTATCGATCGTATGAGGGGTCCCCAGCCAATGAGCAGTGCCTGTCTTGGCATGATGTACTGGCCTCAGCCTAGGCATCAGTCTTATCTCCCATCGAATCTAACCTAACCAACAGAAGCATGGGAAAGGGAGGCCAGGTGTTATTCCAGCCCCAAGTGGAAAGGCCCGCCCAGCATCCCCGTTCACCTCACTCAAGTCTTAAGAACTTACTCAACATCCAGAGGGAAATAAGAGAGATGGACGGGGTGATTCAATTCAACAAACATTCACAGGGCATCTTCTGGGCTGGGCAGTGAAGAAGGATAAACAGTGTCTCTGCCCTGAGGGTTCACAAACAGGCAAACAGAAGCAAAGGTCAGAGGATGTTTCGCAGACATGATTGCCCAATTGTGCTTTGAACAAAGAATAAGCAGCTCGGTGAAAGGGGCAACTGCAAGCAGAGAGAAGAGCAGGCACCAAGTGAAATGGCAAATCAACCTGGTGTGTTTGAGGGTACCACAGGGTCACAAACTCCAGTAGAGGGGTCGGCAGTCTACTAGGGCAACAGAGTCAAGCAGCCTCAGTTTGAATCTCCACTCTTCCCCTGACTAGCTGTTTAAAGCCTTGGTTTCCTTCCATACCAGATGGAAATTGTTATAGCAGCCTTCTCCTGGGGTGGCTGTGATAAGTGAAAGAGTGCAGGTAACATGGTTAGCAGAGTTCCTAGAAAGGAGCTATCCCTCAATATTAGTTATTATCACTATTATTACCTCCAGTAATACTGCCACTCCTAGGACTAGAGGAAGGTGGAGGGTAAGACTGGAGAGTTCAGTGAAGACCAGAACACAAGGGAATATGAATTCCAGGTAAAGGAGCTTGGCCCTGGTCTGCAAGTACAGTCAAGTCAGAAAGGGATCCCCAGAGATAAGGGAACCCAGATGTGCTTCCATTGTGACTCCTTCTGAGCCCATGTTCCACAGCTTTCAGTTCCTAAATTCATCAGCTTTCATCACCAGAGATCTTTGCACTGGAATTTCTTTATGGGCTGGAAGCAGATACAAGTGAAAACTGCCCCCTGTGTCTGCTTGGGGTACCTCCAGTAGTGGACTTGTTCAGACAGTAGAGGGGACTCTTCATTTAATTTTCAAGCACTACACAGCCTCATGGAGTAGTCAGGAAGGCCAGGAGGCCTGACTTTCTCCAACCTGGGAAAAGAGGGTTGAGAGCTTCACAGATGCTACTAAGAGATCCAGTGAGGGTGGATCACTGGATCACTACACCAAGGGTGTAGCTGCTTCACCTGAAGGAGTCTGTAGCTTTCTAGTTTCTGGCTGAATGATCATCCCAGGTGACATCATCAAAAAGATGTGTCAGGTCATAGATTTCTCAGTTTTACAGATAGGGATACCAAGGTCCAAAGAGAAGGGATTTGCCCTGCAGACTCGGAATTCACGATGCATTGCCACGCAAGAAATGTATAACCTGATTATTTGCATCTAAACTATCTATCATTCTAAGAAAAAGTTAAGCCACCATCATTAGAAAATAATATTGAAAATATTTTTGTTCCTAAATATTATGTTTCCTCTGCTAAGGAAGGTCCAGGTACCAGGCTCCCTGCTTAGATCTTTTTAACCTTCTATCCTCTTAAAATTGAGTACACACATGTGTTCATTTCTATCGATTAGCAAAATGGACTCAAGGAGGAACCCTGGTCTCTGGAATCAGACAGTCATGGGAGTGAATCTGAGTGTTCCCAGCCAGTCCCTAGCTTGTATCATCGGCCATTTCCAAGCATAAGGTCTATCCTTGCAGAGTTACTCTGAGAATTAATCAGCTAAACATTTGTCAAAATACCTAGACGAGAAAGAACGCAATATACTAATGTTGTCCTTCTGACTATGGCTGCTTGGCTGAGTGTCATGGAGCCACACACTTAATCTATCTGGTTCCCAAGATTTTTCCATCCATAAGGGGACTTAATAACACTGCTGTCACAGACTTGCTGTGAAGATGAAGTGGGGTGAAATATGTAAAGGCACAGACTAGCTCCTCACACATATAGGAATCAATCATGTTTTCCATCCCCCAAATTCCACAGGCTTCTGTAAAAGTCCAAGTGGAAGCAACCAATTTCCAAAAATCCTGAAAGGACTTGATGGCAAATGAGAAATAAACACATTTTCTTTTTGCCTCCCAAATGGAAACAGAATAATCACTATCCACAACACAAGGTCATGGAAAAAAGAGCTGGTGTTTTCCAGGTTCCAGAGCAGATAAAGTTATTTAATGATGATCTCCTTATTTTTAGGAAATTGTTCAGAGGACATCTTATGTATCCTGAAAAGGGCTCCGCTGAATAAGTCATGGGCCTACCTCCAAGGTCAGTAACCAAATCCTGGGATCCTAACCTCCTGTGGTCCTTCTGAAACCTCTGACTCAGAGGTGGCAGAAGAGGTCCGTGGTCAAATAGAACCTGTGAATATCTTCTCCGTGGCCCACGTGCTACTCTTCATAACTGGAGTTTATGTGCCTCAAGGGGAACAGGGCAAAGTGTCACTCTCCAGCTACACTGTCTCAGCACCGGAGATGCTTTTATATTGCCTGCCTGGCCTGTGAATGTACTGGTCTCCCATTCCAACCGCCTTCCCCATTCAACCACCTACCAGTTGCAACCAAGTCCACAGTACTTTACCCTGACACAGGGGAAACTCTTCATCTCGCCTCTACCAAGTTATTTATTCACCAGGGAACCACAAAATTGCCTTGACCCCAGACTGACAGCTTAATGAACATGTGGGCACAGGGCCTATTTGCATATTGCAGCAAACCTCAGGTAAGAGGTCCCTTATAAATGAAATAAGCAATGCTGACACTGACAAAGAATAAGATACTGGGGACATGGTCGACATTCTTTGAATAGCCATTCTGTTTCTTTTAAAAATTCAGTTTTGCAATTAGATTAGTTCTCACTCCTACACTGAATTGCAAAGAGGCTAAAAGGGAAAGCACAGGGACAATTAAAACTAAAGTACCAGCTTTCCAGTTCTGACCAGTCGCATTGATTTCTACTTGTTGGGACTTGGCTTCTGACATGAGCATATGCGCTTAGAGGTCCTGCTAATTCTCTGCTTTTCCATGAATCCCAGGTGGGAAGAGGCCCTTAAAGTGTATGTGAGGACCCTGCACGATTGTGTGACCATGCTCTTTAAGAAAGGAAGACATTCAAAACTTCAGACAATGACTGGTTAAAGGGATGCACCTTAATGTGAAAATCCTGATACCCAATAGGTTGCTAATTGAACAAAATTAAATATCACATCTCTGATATTTTGCACAAGACATACCAAAAAGTATTCCTTCATTGACCAAATGCTCACTGATTGAATAAATGAATTTGTGGGCAATATGGCACAGGAGCTTACAGTCTGCAAAGGGGCAGATAATGCTATAATAATAGCAGAATAATATAATAATTAAGTGAAAAACAATTCTATAGGAGGTGGAGGTACAATGCTTTGGTGTGTGTTGACCCTCCAGCTTGGAGTAATAAAGAAAAGGAAAGGCGGTAGCTTTTACCTGTGCTGTGAATAATAAGTTGTCTCTAGAAGGAGGGAAATGGAAGCTGTTCCACATGGTTGGAAGAGCAGATAATATTATAGAAAACAAGGATCTTGAATGGAGAACCTTGAATAACGATTTTAAATTTTCTAATTTTCATCAGAAACTTACTCACAATTTTTTTTCTCCTTCTATTCTCAGTATCAAAGTATATAAACCAAACCAAGTTGTCCTGGAACAAAGATGGCATCATCCATGGAGTCAGGTATCAGGATGAGGATCTAGTGATCCAGGTCCCCGGATTGTACTTCATCATCTGCCAACTGCAATTTCTTGTGAAATGCCCAGAACATTCTGTTGACCTGAAGCTGGAGCTTCTCATCAACGCAGAGGTCAAAAAGCAGACACTGGTGACTGTGTGTGAGTCTGGAATGCAAACGAAAGCCATATACAAGAATCTCTCTCAATTCCTGCTGGTCCAGCTCCAGGTCAATGCCACTGTATCAGTCAGGGTGGATAAATTCCAGTATGTGGACACAGACACCTTTCCTCTTGAGAATGTGCTGTCCATCTTCTTATACAGTAGCTCAGACTGAATCACTTCTCCTGCTCTTCAGGAAGAAAGCACTCTCTACTGTATAGGACTCCATCCATCCCAATGCTTGGGTAAAAAAACACATTAGACCACAAAGAGACTGAAACCACAAAGGGTATTAAGTAGTGCATGTCTCTGTCTCCTCTGTCTCTTAGGAAGATACAGTTCCAGGGTTAAAAGCGTTTTGAGTGAAGTATCTTTCAGATAAAAGGCAGGGAGTATCAAGGTGTGGTGCACAGAGCTCCACATGGGAATAAGAAGGGATGGGTTTAGATCCCAGCCCAACTAGTAAGTCACTGAATGACTTAGACTTATTTCTTTGCTTTTCCTGGAACTCTGGACATACACCTAAAAAATAAAGAAACTGGATTTGAATCTTTTCGAAGTCTCTTCCATCTCAGAAAACCAGGCTATCTTCACAAAACTGGGAGCCACAATCCCAAGTAGTGTTCTGGAAACCCTCATGATAGTATAAAACAGACGATAGGATGGCATCTGGCTGCCTGTCACCACAGCAGAGTCCGAATTTGGGGACAAGGTACCTTGCAATAGTGTGAATTGTAGGATCGAAAAATGTGTAAAAGATGGGACTGCCAAGCTGACCGTCCCAAATCTTAGAGGCTTTCTGGGTATTTGGAAAACCACCTGACTAGGCCTGAGTCCAGTGCGGTTAAGAGTGACAATACATCAACAACCGACGACTTTTGGTTTTTTTATCAGGAAAAGACTGCACATTCAGCAAACATTCAACCAGCATGCCCTGGTGAAGGTGGTGCAGCCATTTGGCCAGGAAACAGCTGCTGCCATCACCCATATGATCCCTGTTCCCTGCTTCAAACACTCTCAGGAAACCATTTTTGTGGAGCATTTTTAAGGCCCTACAGAGTTGTTGACCCACATGCTTACCCTGACAATGCAAAGAAGGACTTCTGAGCAATGGCCGCCTACTCTCCTGATCCGGGCACCAGGAGAATTCTCCAGTCACAGAAGCCTCTACTTCTGTCCATCACCTCCAAAAGAGCAACTCATTTCCTTGGAAAAAGGATGCTCTATCTTGAAGAGTAAACCCCTGAGATTATGCTTTGGCGAGAAAGGGCCCTTCACTGCTATGCCAACAAATAAAGAATTGGAGCAGAATTTCATTTTTTCTCAAGAAAAGGGAGAGTAAAAAAAGGAGAAAGAATTCAGGAATGTTTGTTAGAGAAAGACAAGAAACAATTTTAAAGGGAAAAATCCCTGGTGTGTATGAGAGGAACTTGGGAGAGTAAAAACGGTTAAGGGAAAAGATTAAGTCACTAGGTGAGCAATGTGCAGTGCCAGCCTCCTGCTAGGTCTCCTCTTTGGAGTACTCAGTAAAGTCTACATTTTCTACATTTCTGTTTAATACTTTCTGTGAGTAGATTCTTTGCAGGGGGATGGGGACATTGGAAGAAGTGTTGAATTCAGCAACCCAAGGGGTATGTGCTAAAAGCAGGTTTGAGGACCCAAAGTGAGTGAACAGAGCCATCTGGCATTAGTTATAACCCAACCTCGGACAAATGAACCATGTTTGAAACAGCTCAATATTTGTTTGAGAAGAGAGCTGAATCTAAGTATGGATAAACTAAACAAATGTCTACCATCTCATATTCTAACTTGAGAAGGATGCTATTTTCACTTTCCCCTACCCTCTGTGAGTGAGGTGCCTGCCTCACATTGCTCCTAATCTGTCTCTATTCAGCAGTGCTCTCAAAGTCAAGGTAGAAGACACAAGGCAGCATAGCTTTCAAAGGAATCTGGTAGTGAGACAAAGAAAGGACAAGAGGATAATCATTTAATAGCTCAACTGATAACACACAGGGAGTGAACAACTTGGGAAGTTTGAAGTTAAATTCTGTTACTCCCTGAGTGTTAACCTCCCCCTGGGAATGTTACAAGTATATAACACCATCTGCGCAAGGCAAGCAAATAAATAAATATTGTACCTGCAAACTGTAGGCTGAAAATATAAAATTTATATGCCTGAAACACATACCTCTGTTAATAATTCAAGTGGAACTCACACACTCTGCCCTCCCTATGCCACCTCCAATACACACACACACACACACTCACACACACACACCCCTTCGTTAAAACACTCACACAAAGAGAACTTGTAAAACATACAGGAGGATGATGGGTGAGTTGGAAAATAAGCAAATGTAGACTCAATATATTCCTGTCCTTGGGAAAATTCATATGACTTCTTTTACCACATTTGGGACTGATGCCTCCTGTAACCCCCTTATGCAATTCCTTCTTGGAATCACCAGTTAGACAAAGGTTGACTCAGAGAAGGGACCAGCTCACCCAGGAGGGTTGATAACAGCAGGCTATGAAGAGAAGACATACTGTGTTAACAGAAGCTGGGCAGAATTTACCAAGCAAGGGAAGCTTCCAGAATCCCTGGAATACCACATTGATTATTCTGACATGAAAGGACAAAACCCTTACGTGGATAGAGAAGTCAGTCAGTGTTACCTCCAGAAAGATGCTGAGCAATAGCTAAGCCAGTGTTGGAGCAGAAGCCCAATGTAAGGCAAGGACTTGTCACATGTGGTTAGAGCCCAGCCTCCTGGCTCCTAGCACCATCATTTCCCGCCAGACTTTACTAGCCTTACCATTCCTGTAGCCTTACCATTCCCAGGGTCCCATCTTTCTGGGGACTGGAGCAGTCCCCAGCATTGAGGAATAGCATCTGTTCTTCCTGGCCACACTCTAGTCACCCCAGGATCATCATTCTAAAATGAGATATAGATGGCCCCTCCCCTTTTGTAGTTGTAGTACATGGTCAAATGACAGAAAAGGGCTAGGGTACCACAATATCAAAGCTCTCTCTCTAAAAACTGAAGGAATATTTGGTAAGGTCAATATTTTTTCCCATAGAAAAAATTAAAAGCTTGCTGTTTTCATCTAAAGTTACACATAAATGTATGTATATATGTAGACTGAGTGGATATGTGTATAAGTATGTGTGTGCCAATGTGTATGTGTATACAGATATGTCCATCTGTGTGTACATGTGTGTGTATATATGCTTTCCCCTAGTAATTGCATTTCAGTTATATCCTGATGAAGCTTGATTCTTGCTCTGGAAACTACAACATGAATATACACTTGTATTTATTTTTAATTATGAAAAGAACAGATAATATTTCTCTCATGCCTTACTAGCTAATTTAATAATTACTAATATTTTGCAATATTGGCTTCTGCTTCTTTTTAAAAATTAAGTATGCAAGTCAAACTCCAGCCTCACTCCTCAGTGCATTTTCCTACAACCTCCCAGAGAGAACCGATGCCTGGATACCTGTGTCCCCTTCACTTGCATGATTTTGTACTTGTTTTCCAATAAGAATATGTAGTGTACTTTGTGTGGTTTTAAAATTTTCAATAAATGATACTGTACTTTATTTTTTTTAAGATTTATTTATTTATTTATACAAGCACTGGGTACAGTCAGAAGTGCGGGAGGGTGAGAGAATTCACCAGAACCAGAGCAGGGAACAGAACAGGCAGACCGACGAAATGCACTACTGAAGGGAGCAGCGGTGGCAGGAGAGGTCTGCGTGCCATGTGGGACCCTCGCCAGGAGCTGGGGATCGAACCAGCACTGCAGAGGCTGCGGGAAGCTTCGCAGCCCAGTGCTCAACTGCTGTGCCACCAGGGAAGGCCCAATGATACTGTACTTTATATATCATTTTGTGATTTGAAATTTTTTTCACCTAACACTAAGGTTTGGAAATGTTTCCAGAAGGATACGTGTAGATCATAGCTCATTCATTTCACTGATAAAATAATTCACTGAACATTTCACCATGTGTCCATTCTCCCATGGGTGGACATTTTCATTTACCGCCCAATTTTGCTGCACCCCTTCCTGCCCACTCCATACCCCTTGTTGCCATTTGTCTATCCAGCACAAAAACCATAAAAAATCATAAATGATGTCTGAGAGCCCCTGAGTCACTAGTGAGGGACTCCACAGCAGTCACGTCTCCAGCTGGAGGTCTGGAATCTGAACACTTTCCATCATTTCTGAGAACATCTGTGCTCCATACACCCCTTCTGCACCCGTGCCCTGAATGCCATGGTGGTGCCCATCCCAGGCCAGGTGCCAGTTAGTGATGTGGCACGTGAGCTGTGGCTGCAGGTGCTGCACAAGCAGGTCTAGGGGTGTGGCTGGCAACACATCTCTGCAGGGCACTCTGAGGCTTCAATGGATCCAAGCACCCCTCTGGGAAAGTAAATGACAGTGCCCTGGTGCGAGGACAAGCAAAACAACAAAAGACAATTTCTCCGGCCAGATCAAAAATCTGCATTCCCTGGGGTCTATGCCAGACCCCTTCTTCTTTGCACCCCACACTGAAGGGGCTTGATCAATTCTCCATGGCTTCAAATGGCACTGCTGTCAACGACTGCACAGTCTCTGTCCCCAGTTGTGATTTCTCCTCAAATCCTATCCCATACATTCAGTAGCCACTGGACACTGCCCACGGGCTCCTCTGAGATCTCACCATGGAAAACAGGCACTCAAACCATACTACACTGACTTCAGAGGTTTTTTATTTTTTTTAACCATGACCCAGAAGAAAAATGTTTTAATTTTACAAACAAGGATGTGTACACACTCATATACACACAACCCTAAGCCAAAAGTTTCATTATGTCATCTGTACATTTACTAACTGTGACTAAAAAAGAAAATCTTGCTGTGACCTCCTAAATTGATTTTATGATGTTCTTGTGAGTCACAGCCTTCCCCCGCTCTGGAAGATAGAAAGCTAAAAATAGACCGGTTATTCCCTTGCAGTATGAACTCTAGAAGAGTTTAGGCTGAGATTAACACAATCTTGGTGTATCTGTCCACTCTGCAGCAGGTCCAGCTGTGGAGGGGCTTGTGCCAAGTCCCTGTGTCCAGATGCTGGCTCAGAAGTTGCGGATAACGTGAGTATAGGAGAAAGGGCACGTTCTGCAGACAGGGTTGGTCTGTCAAAGATTCATCCAGGTTCTAAGAAGCAGCAGCAGTAGAGGTTTCCTGATTAGTGGTTTCCTGCTCGAAACAGGTATTGTGGCCCTGGAGAAGGCAGCTTCCTCATGGCCAGAGACAGTGGAGATAGCCGCTCCCGTGCAACCCAGCTCCTGATTGTGGCCCTGGGAGGTTGCTCCTGAAAGCTCCTGAATGCCACCTAGATTCTGTGTCCTCCATCCTCTTGACAATAGGAGCCATTTAATATCCTATGATAAATGGTCTTCTGCCAAGCAAAGTAGAGTGAAGACTGTTCTCTGCAATTACTCCTTGAACAATACCATCTCAACATGCAAAAAAATGGGCTTCCTGATGTAACAGGGTGGTCCCTAGAAAAAAGAGAGGTTCCAGGTTTCCTTCCCACCAAGGGAGGGTAGAGCTGAGCAGGGAGGAGAAGCAGCTGGAGAGGAGACTGGAGAAGGAAGGAAGCAAGATGGAGAGCCAAAAGGAGACCTGGAGGAGGCACATGGAGCAGAGAGATATGTGAAGAAGCTGCACTTGCTTCTTGGTCCTGAACTGGTTGAAAAAGATGCAGGTGAGAGACCCATGGGGAGGTTCACAGTGGCAGCTTTTATCTTGATTTTGCTCTTTTCCTCCCAGACTTGTCTGGCTGTTTCTGACCCTTTTCTTTGGGTCCGTGCCAAAAGGTGCCATAGACTTGTGGCAGGCTCTTGGGCCTTGCTTTAGACCAATCCTGTTTGACTGGACATTTGCCACCGAGGAGATGGGTAGTTGACTTTAGGTGCTTGATTCAGAAGTTATATTGTCTTTTCTGTATTTCATACTAATTGTATTAATGTTCCTTTCTATTAAAGGTCTTATATGTTTTGTCTTGATGCAGCAGATGGCAGAACCTATTTAGAACAGGCAGGTTTAGGGGTTCTGGGGTGCCCCTCTCCCTGCCCTGTAACACTGATACCCCAAACCTGTCACTAGACCTGTATTCCACATCTCAAGGACTATCTAAATCCCTTAGGAACTTTCTTTCCTATCTCCCACCCAGCCAACATCTGTCCAGTTCCTCTAATTCGCTAGGCCCAGCCACTCTGTCACTGCCATGACTCTCATTACTGTTTAATTCACATCCTTGCTTCTGCCTTGCTCATTATGAATCCCATCTCCACACAGCAATAACAGCTCTCATTGTTCTTGGGGTCAAGGGTAATAATGGTCATCGGTCAAGGTGTTAACTGTTACGTGCGTTTCATGTATTCACTCATTTAATACTCAAAACGACCCTGTGAGGAGCAGCTCACACTGCAGACTAAGACAGTGAGGCACTGAGACACTAAGTGAAGGATCATTTGCACGCAGCCTGGGAGCCCAAAACTGGGGGGCCAGCCCTGGTTTGTGAGCATCCACTTTCCAAAATGTCACGCTCCAAGCACTTGAATACAGTCTTCCAAAAATCTAAGCTCTCAGGCCTCCCTGGTGGTGCAAGGGGTTAAGACGCAAGCTATGAAGCTGTCAGCAGCCACTGCAGCACAAGTTCGATCCCCAGCCAGGGAGCAACCCACATGGCACAGCAGATCTCTCCTTACTCGCGTGCTGCTCCCTTCAGTAGTGTATTTCAGTCAATCTGCCTGTTCTGCTCCCCACTCTGTCTCTAGTGAATCCTCTCACTCCCTGCAGCTCTGGCCTACACCCCAGTTACTGTATGCATGAATAAAATAAATCTTTAAAAAAAAAATTCTAAGCTCTCTAAACCAGCTCCCTCTCCATCCCAATCCTGACTTTTCCTCTGATTCAGTCCACTTCTGACCTGCCTGTGCTCTGTGCTCAAATTACACAGAACTTCTCCCAATTCCTCACCATCGTCACCAGATGTTTGCACATGTTCCTCTTTCTGCCTGCAAGTTTCCTTTCACTCTCTTTTTCCTATCACTGTTCTTGTCTCAAAGAAGTCTGGATCTTCTGACTGCACCCAGTGCCCTGCTCTCTTCTTGCACACTTGCCCCATTCTTGGTAGGATGGCGCTTCACTGGCCACCCTTGGACTCTTTAAATCACCCAACATCCAAACTCCTTGCACGCCCGAGCTCTATCAATCTTATTCAGTCCTGAATTCCCACAGTGCAGCACAGTTCCTGGCACATAATAGGCAGTCATTTAATAACTACTTCTGCAATGAATATTCAAAAGAATACTCTTTAAACATGGGCCCCACTCCATGGAAAAGATTTGATTAAGCAATAAAAAAAAAGGAATAAAAACTCTTTACAAAATATGGAAAAGTGAAAGCGACTTATTTCTTAGAAATGTTTTTCAGTACTCAGGAAAGTAAAAACGCTGATTAAAGAAAAGTGAAATGTTCAGAAAACAGAATGTACCTATGCCAGCTGAGAATCTGACAAACTTTCTCTTCATTTATTGAGTTTATTCTGTGTGCTAGAAGTAGTATACTCACTCTATAATCCTCTCTCTTCCTGCCCCTGTGAGTGACCTATGTGCTATTTCAGTCGATTCAACTCTTGGTGGGCAGACTAGACTCACCCTAGGGAGATAAAGTAAAATTTTAGAGAACTTTAGAATCAAGAAAGAGTTTTTCATGGCCTGATACTCAGCTCACATCCCAGACTAATTAAATTAGAATCTCCAGGGTTAGATCCCAGGCACCAGGGTTATTTTAAACTCCCACACTTTCAGGTAAGTTTGAGAGTCAATAGTGTAAGCCCCTCCTTTCTATACTGTACTTAGGTACAGAACTAGGTACCGAAGTTCACCCCCACCCAGAAACAGAATCTATTTTTTGGTAAGATCTGTAAGAAATTCATGGGCAACTAACAAATTGAGGGATTCTGGTTTCCAGGACTCCCTAGCAGTGGGGAAGAGATTGCTCCGAAACTATTTGCTTCTTTTCCCCCCTCCCACAAGCTGACTTTGGAAATGGATTCTCCCTCCCCTTGCACTGCTTACGGAAATGTGAGGGTCTAGACATTAGGAAAAAGAATCTTTAAAACCACCATTATATTAATCATTTGTAATTAGCATTGCTAAGTTTTTAAATGTTGCTTCTGGTACCCTGGGCAGGCACTGGGACAAAGGTCTAGCCAATATGTTGAAGGTTTGGGATAGAGTGCAGAGAGGGGCAGAGGGCAGGGGTGGCTTCCCGATGGCCAAGCAGAGAGCAAAAGCAAGTCTGGGAAAGGATAGTTTGGAAATTCCTGTTTGAATCCTAGAGCTCAGGCAACTAACTTCAGGCTCTTGATGAGTCTCAGCTACTCTCTAAACTGAAATGTCCTCAGCTATAAAATGAGATGCATAATCCTTCCAAAAGCTGCGGGAAAGGACAAACAGAGTAAGCTTGAAAAGTGTACAAATGTGAGCTATTTTTGCTGTATTCAGTAGCCATGAAGGGATTTGTGGACACAGAA